ACGGGGCTGCCGGCTCCCTTGGGCACCCAGGCACGGCTCCTCTCCCCCCACCAACCGCCCGTGCCATTGCAACACTTCGATCGGGCGCCTGGGGGTCCCAAGCAACGGAGGCATCCTCAAGTCATTCAATCCTCATGGAGCCGTTCAGCCTGATCCCGGTAGCTGGGCTGGTAACGACGCGCGGCCCCGTCCCTGATTGCCGGCGTTTCACCATCACTTGTCTCTGGTCAAGGCAGTTCTGTCTGTTCCCTGTTTCAACAACAGGCAGAGAGAGATCTTGCGTAGCTGGTGCGTCTGCTGCGGGAGCAAAGGGAAAACCTGCTGCCGAACACAGCTCCCCGGCCGTGGGGGTGATGCTGGAGTCGCTCAAAGCCAGCCGAGAGGGGAAAAGGGGATGAGAGAAGTGAGCAGAGCATGTGGGGAAAGCTCTGCGGGCGTCAAGGAGGCTGGTGATGTGCTGCATTGAGGCGTAAGGGTTTACTCTCCATTGCCAACTTCAGTGCAGCTCCCGAGTTCTTAAAGGCTCTGGATGTCATGGGGCCAAAGCTGCGCTATTTGGGCACACACAGGCTTTGCTTGCTTTCGTCTCAATAAGCAATAACATGTTGTGGCAGGGGACATGGGGACACATGGCTTCCTCAAGGGGCTGGCAAGGGTAAAAAACCACCCGTGGTCCTCACCAGGTATCTGCAGCAGACCAACACCCAGCCTGCTGCCTAATAGAGAGGCTCCTATGACAGAGACATCATGAAGCACCAGCAAACCCTCACTGCGCCGGGATGGGTGGGCAGGTCTGCTCCAAGAACAGGGACAAATCCTCTTCCATAATGCCATGTGCCCAAGATGCCCTTTATAGTGAGAGCACGCCCCCAAATGCCTCCGAATCAGCATCTTGAGGGAAACAGGACCATATGCCACCGTGTTTTGCCTGCCCAGGTTTTGCTGGCACAGCCGCCAGAGACGGGTTTCACACCCAATCAGTGCCGTGGTGCAAAAATAGCTCTGGCAGTGCCAGAAGAGAGTCAAGGTCCCTTGAAATGAGACTTTGTTCCCCATAAGGACAACAAAAAGCTCAGCTTGAAGCGTTAAAGCTCCTTGCTGAATTTTATTCTGTGCCCTCTTTAGAGGCAGAGTCTTAAAGCTGGGGTTTAGGAGATGATATCTTCAGTAAACAACCTATGGGAAGGTGTCAGCACCTTTAAATCTCTGCCTGGCAGCCCTCATTCCACTTGGATCTTCATTTCTGACTAGCTGCTGCATGTTTTATGTGGGAAATATTTCATTCTGACTGTCTTGGTCTATTACATTTCAGCCCATTTCAACTTGGAAGGGAAAAGAAAATAAACTGCTCCAGCTAAATGAAAACCACTGTTAGGGCTCGCAGGGCCCTTCCCCTGCCCAGACCAGCACAATCACAGCAATGCTCCAGCTCTGGAGAAAGAAAGGTGCCTAAAAAGCTGCACAGCCCATGGTGTTCCCAGGTTGGCAAACTACACAAGAAGGGCTCGGCTGCATCCGAGTTCCCTTTTCCAAATGCTTTGTCAGAGACGCACCCAGCAACAGCACAGGAGTTAATCACATTCAGCTCCTTTAAAATCAGATTCCAGGAGAATCCTGCGGCACTCCCGCACCAGACAGGGATGCACCGGGATGCACAGACCCTTCGTGGAAGATGGGACAGCACAAGAGCTTTGCTTTCTCTCTGTTCCCAAACCGCTGCTGTCTCATACTGATCACAGGACACACAGAGCTAAGGTCTCGGGTGCCTCATGACTGGCAGCGCATTGCATTTAAATCATTTAAGCCTGTGCCTAAAAATGCCACAACAGCAAGACCCCTGCAATGGGATAAGCCCATTTCTGCAGCTCTTTATTTAAGTGGATGGTTTTTCAGCAAGGAGAAAACAGCAAAAGGACAGAACACCCCCTCCTCCCCGAGCACAGCAGCATCTGCCAGGGAGCTGATGCAAGACCAAGCGGGATGTCACAGCCCTCGGCCCCAACAGCAGCCACAGACCTGAATTAGAGCCACCCACAAGGAAACTCTTATCACTGCAAACAGAGGCTGGGCCCTGCAGTGCTGATGTACACATTTCCATTGTGAATCTGCAGCTCGGGAGCCGCCCTTGCAACACGCTCCGAGGTCTTGACTCCTTGTTACCCCGTTTTAATAAGCAGAGATTTCCCCTGTGATGTCTGACAGTGGGACAAATCTGTGCTGAAGTTCCTGAGATGCCTCCAGGCTCTCACAGCCCATCCCAGCCATGGCTCTGCTCCCCAGGACATCGCACAGCCGAGCCTCCTGCTTCCACTTTTGTCCCTGTGACTATTTGCAGTCGAACAAGAACACAAACATTTGGATTCTAGACACTTCCCAACCCCGACCTTATTTATCATACTTGGCTCCGCTCCTGGAATTGGGGCCAGAAGAGGCTCTGAACAATTTATGTTATTTAACAGTCTGTGCATAGATCAATCTTGCTCTCCCCTCTAGCCACGGGTTTCCCTTTGTGGTTTGCTGCACACTTATTATGTCCATCAATATCTAAGTAATTAAAATCCCCCATTATCTGGGTCCTGGCTGCCTTATGAGCTCCTCATAACCTATAAAACATTTGATCATCAACCTTTCTTAAGTGCCCGGGAGGTCTGGAGCTCCATCTCAGGATCCCATGGCTGCTGTTACATCCCTGAAGGTCCCATCAAAGCTGCCGCCTGCCATTGCATCCCTCACCTTCCCGTTCCGTGCAAGGATTGCTCATTCTTATTCCCATCTTTCTCTATCTGCTGGCAAGTTTATCTCAGAGCAACCCCCAGCTCCTTGCTCTTAGAGCTGGAGGCACGTTTGGGACCTGCTGCATTCCTGGGATGCCACATCCCAGATGTTGCCCCATTGGCATGCCCGCGATGGGCACGTATCCGTGGTGACAGCATCTTTACAGACAACGTGTCTCCAGGGTCTCCTCTCACAGCTCAGCCACGGGTCTCAAAGCAATGTGTTAATAACAGCCAAGTTTGCTTTGCAGTTCCCCCTTGGGAGGGATGGGAGGGCACAGAGAATAAATCACCTTCTGGTGCTGCCACTTACCCAGGACCCGATGCTGTATCAGGTCCATGCCCTGAGCACTGTGTCTCTGAACACAGCCTGGCTTTATCTCTGCCTGGGGAATTACTCACCTTGGCAGGACTGACTGCAGTCTAGATATGATTAAAGGACATGACTCAAGCCCCAAAGTGCTAATTACAGCACAGAGAGGAGGAGAGAGGAGCTGGTAAATTACACCTAATATGGAAAGGGAGTTAGGAACAGATTGAAAAGCCATCGCTGCGGGGATGATGAACCTGGGGCTGTCCCTGCCTGGGGACACACCAGACGCAGCACCCTGAGGCAGCCACAGGCCTTCTCCCAACGCTGTTCTTGTTCTGCACTTGGCATCACGCTGCTCTCCTTGCTCTATCCCTTGATTCTGCACACTCTTTGCCCAAGCATCCCTGGGATCTGCCATCCCCCAGCCCAACAGCAGCCTGTGGACAAGCCTCGGAGGAGCCTAGTCATGGAAGATGGGTTGGTTTATGCTCCTTGTGGGACCTCTGGGTTTCTGCTGTGTTTTAGCATCCCAGCCTCGCCAGGCAGCAAGAGAACTCACACACTTTGCTGGAAGCCCTGTGGCTGGGGCTGTCTTTTTCTGTGTTTACTTGGACACAGCACAGCAGGTTCCTGGTTTATGACGGTGCCTTGGAGTAATCTGAATAATAAATACCGTTAAGAAAGTGCGTTGTTGTGAAATATAGGTTTTCCCAGTAAATAAATCCTGGCCGTTATTTGCATGTGTAATAGGTGTATCAAGGACAATGGCTGCTGGCTGGAGGGCAATAAACCAACATCCCCTCCCTTTAGCTCACCTCTCACTCCAGCTCTGCCGGGTTTGGGTTGGAAAGGACCTTAAAGCTCACCCAGCTCCAACCCCTGCCACGGGCAGGGTCACCTTCACTAGAGCAGGTTGCTCCGAGCCCCGTCCTTGAACACTGCCAGGGATGGAGCGTTTGAGGGCTCGGGGGGTGATGCCATCAGAGCAGGGATCACTGGTGCCACACATCCAGCCCAGTGCCTGTTTGCAGAGTTACTCACTGCGCCAGTGGCTGCTACACCCGGTAAACAAGGGCAA